ATAGAATTAATGACAAGAATTAAAGATAGACTGGATATGAAAAGAGAAGGGAAATGCTAAATCTAACCAGACACCATCTCACACTGACCCTAACATGACAAAGCTGATTTCATTTTTACCCCTCTCCACACTGTAACAGAAAAACTGCCAATGCTTGAAAACAGATGAAGATAGTGTTGGTAACACTGTACAGGGTGGAAAAGTAGGATAAAAGAGGATCTCAAAAGAAAGATTCTTTGTTAATGCCTTGAATACTTACTTTGTGATTAGATAATTGGTCAGATCTCTAATCAATCAGGAAATCAATCTTACTTATTAAATTAATTTATTTGTATTTCATAGTTGCATTTTAAAAATATATTCACTAAATAAGGCACTCTCTGTCCTGTTATAGATTTCTAATAGACATATGGTAAACTAGAAGCAATGCTGTCAGAGAAGAGACTGCAGATAGAAAGTTACATGCTGTAATTTGCAAACAGATAATAGATCACTTAGGTAACATGGCAACCTTCACCAGGTCCAGAAACAAAAAAGTTAAAGGGGATTCAAATGACAATCTGAAGAATGTCCTTTTATTTCTTAAAGGAACCAGGAAATGTGGCTAAAATAGGATACAAGGGAGAAGAAAAGACACTGCCTTCACATCTGAAAACACAGCAAAGCTCTGTTCAAATGTCACGCTTGGCTTCTGCACGTCTTCAGTTCTGGCTGAGCTGTGTCCAAGATGGCAACAATATCCTGCCACGGATACTCTGTCAAAATGTAGCTTCTGAAGAAAGCCCCTGTTTTTTTTCCCAAGAGGCTACTCTTGATAGTAGCATTGAGCCCGAGGGCTGGAATATGACCTTCCCTGGTTTCCCAAAGCCCCCATTCTGGCTGAAGAACTCAATGACAAGAATTAAAGAACCCTAACTCTGACCCAGGCATATGCCTGGAGCATGGGGGTGGAGTTCCTTTCTAAAATATCTGTATAGAGCTCTCTTATTTCAGCCCAAATCCTGGGATAGGAGGCAGAAGGAGTTTGCACACTTCTGTCTTTTAGAAACACCTGGTTCCCTGGCTTACATGGAATCATCTGTTCTGTTTTCCTCCTGCCCTCCTGGATACTCCTGCTTAATCTCCTTTGTACCACCCTCCCTCATCCAGCTTGGCTCTCGGCCTTCTTCTTCCATCACTATTAACTCTCTCTGGGAAATCTCATCTACTCCACAGCTTCAATTTGCGGAAAACGTACAAATTTATACGCTATATTAGTCAGGTTCTCCAAAGAAATGGAACTAATAGGATATATGCAAAGTCTCTTCTAATCGCCCTATGTACAGTTTCCTAGGGCTGATGTAACAAATTGTCACAAACTAAACGTCTTAAAATAGCAGATATGTATTATTAACTCATAGGCACTCATGGTTTCTTTTATATATGTATGTATATACATATAAATACATGAGGAAATTTATTATAAGATATTGACTCACATGATTACGGAGGCTGAGAAATCTCACTATCTGCAGTCTGTAAACTGGAGACTCAGGAAAGCCAGCGATATACTTTGAAGGCCTGAGAACTGCAGAGACTTCAGTCTGGGTCTAAAGACCTGCGAACCATTGGTACCGAAAGCAGGAGATCCGTGTCCCTGCTCAGTCTGGCAGAGTGCATTTGCCTTTCCTTTGCCTTTTTATTCTACTCAATCCCTCAGTGGACTGGATGATGCCCAATCTCACTGGGAAAGGCCATCGGCTTTACTCCGTTCACCAAGTCAAATGCTCATCTCCTCCAGAAACACCCTCACAGACAGCCAGAAATAACATTGAACCAGTTATCTGGGCATCTCAGTACCCAATCAAGTTGGCACATAAAACTAACCATCGCACATAGTATCTCCATTCTAGACTTTCTCTTGAGCTGCAAACTCACATATTTAACTGTGTACTTGAACTTTTGGATACCCTTAAAACTCCTCGAATTCAACATATCCCAAACTGAACTCTCCATTTCCCTCCAAGCCTTTAACATCTCCTACCTCAGTAAGTGACACCAGCATTTGTCCAGTTCCACAGCCAGGAATATACGGCCCATCCTGACACTTCTGTCTCCCCTATATTCTATATTTAGTCTATCCCAAGTCCTTCATAACTCTTGCATCTGCCCAGTTCCATCTATCTTCACTATTATTACTACAGTCCAGAGACTTATATTAGTGCAAAAATAATAAAAGCTAATAATTATTGAAGGTTTATTATATACCAGGCAGACACTCTTAAAAACTTTACATAAATTAGCTCTTCTAATAACCCTATGCATTAGTTCCCTGGGGCTGACATAAAATTTACCACAAACTAAATGACTTAAAATAACAGAAATGTAGTCTTTCATAGCTTTGAAGGCTAGAGGTCTGAAATCAAGGTGTTGGCAGGGTTGTGATCCCTCTGAAGGCTCTAGGAGAGGATCTTTCCTTGCCTCTTCTATTTTCTGACTTGTGGCATGCCTTGACTTGTGGCTGTGCCACTACAATCTCTGCCCATGTCTTCACATGGTCTTTTCCTCTGTGTGTGTGGTATCTTGCCTTCTATTTCAAATCTCCCTGAGCCTTTTATCTCAGAAAGTTGCTTGTCTTTGGATTTAAAGTCTGCCCAGATAATCAAGGATGATCACCTTATTTTCAAGATTCTTAACTTAATTACATCTGCATCCACAGGTTCCAGGGATTAGGAAGTGGACCTTTTTTTGGGGGGGAGCAGTCACCATTTAACCCACTATACTCTACAAAGTAGGTATAGTTATTATTCCCACTGGGCAGAGGAGGCAATTGAGGCTCAGAGAGTGTAAGGGACTTGCCCAAGGTCACATAGCTAATAAGTTGTGGATGAGAGATTCACATTTATTCCCAGGAAAACAATTTCAATGTTTTTCTGAAAGGAGTAAGAGTTCAAAAAAATCCATCACTTGGATGCCAAATATTTCTTCTTCAATCCATTCATTACTAGACTCTTCTATACCATCAGCATTTCCACCTCTAAGAATCTATTCTGTGGATAAATTTGTCATATTTCACAAAGCTATTCACAGCTTTATGCTCTGCATTAAAAAATTAATGTAAACAACCTTAATGCCCACCAATAGGAGATGGTTCAATCCATTATGGCACAGCCATAAGTGGGATATCATGCACCCCTTTTAAAATGAGGCATGTCTATAGTTGGTGATCATGTGTTATATACATGAAATTTACAAAAAGAGTAGATTTTAACTGTTCTCATACACACAGAAAGGGCAAATATATGAGGTGATGGATAGGTCAATTAGCTTGACTGGACAAATCATTACCCAATGTATATGTATGTCAAAACATCATACGGTACATCTTAAATATATACAATATTTATCTGTCTATCATATCTCAATAAACCTGGAAAAATTTAAAAAATGAGGCATGTCTATATGTGTTAGCATGAGAGAAGTTAACTCAAGGTGCAGAACAGTGTATATATTAATAAAATGCTACCATTTTCTAAATAACATAAAAGACACATATGTATATGTACTTATATACTATGAATATATAGAATATATTGGAAAGATAAATCAGAAATTAATTACTATATTGGTCTTTGAGAAAAGGTCTATGAGACTGAGTACAGGGATGGATGGGAGATTTATTTTCCATTGTAAACTCTATAGTTTTGTTTGAATTTATTTTGCCATGCATTTGCACTGAGAGAGAGAATCTCTAAGCTATCTTTCACCTCATTTGCAACTTGACCTCCTACTGAATCTCATCTTTCACCTAAAAATTAATTGTTTCCCAAACACACTGAGTATGTCCATGTGGAGTATGTGCATGAGTCTAATGTTCTATCATTCTTGACTCTCATGTTTTCTACCTGTAGAAATCCTGCCTCTCAAAAGCTTTTGTGTGCTACCTACTGATCTTCAGTGTTGGAATCAACTACTCTTCCCTTGGCACACGGAAATTCCCCATTCATCCAGTTTTGAATGATAGTTATGTTTACAAGTTGGTCACTGTCATTAAATTAGTTCCCAAAGGGTAGCATGCATCTTGAACTCTATGTTCCCCAATGTATCTGGAACAAAGTTTGGCTGAATGCATATCATTAACTGAAAAATACGAAGCAGAAAGTCATCAAGGAAAACCTAAGTTTTCTGTGATGACCAACTGGAAGGGTGCTACAGAAAAATATCTAGCCCAAATATAGGAAACCTACTCAGTATTAATATCTAAAGAAGCAAATAAGAGCCTTAAAGCTAAAAATTAAGCAAATACTATATATCAAATAAGGTTATTAAAAGAGATGTATGTGAAATGAAATAGGAAGCTACATTTCAAATATATTAGTGGTAAGAGAAGAGAAAAGAAAAATGACTTCAGTTATAATACAGAAAAGATAGCTCTTAACATTTTTTGTTTGTTTTTTTTATGATTACTATTATTTTTCGGTCAAACAAAGCCTAGTCACAAAATAGGAAAACACTGATTTGATCATGAAGTAGTCTACTTCTCAGACAGGGACTAACAATGACCTCTACCTTCGTTGTCTCCTCCACCCCCGACTTCATATATACTAATACCTTATAAAAGTCAATACAACTTACTCTATTGCTTAGTAACCACATTCTTCTTGATGCAAAATTTCCAAAATAAGATTATAAAATTACTGTAATTTCTACTATTTACATTTTGCTGTCATTTAAACCTATTTCCTCTTGTCTTTGGTGATATGGGTGTATAGAGGGTCATATTACTCCATATATTTAACTTTCATATATCCTAATGGTAATTGACTCTATACTACTATACTTTCTATAAACAATAAAGCCATTTGTTTTTGTGCTTCTAACATTTTGTTATTCTGCTGTAGTCCCTGCAAATAGGCACATTGATGTCAGTCCCAACCCATTCCTGTTGGCTTTATAACATGTAAAAAATAAAATAAATAAAAATTATAAAGGGAAATGATTAAAAATTTACTTCAACTCACTGTTAGTGCTGTGTTATATTCTCCAGCAGCCAAGTATGCTAAGCCCAAGTAGTAAGAAGCTTCTCCTTGCATGTGTTGGTCACTTCCTAAAATGAAGATGTAGAAATATTACCATAGCATTAAATAAATCAATTTATTACAACAAACAGAATCCTTGCTTTTCAAGATAATGGAAAACTATTATTTCAAAAAAGTGTACAGATTTATCAATGATCTCCAAAACCTAGTTGTGCACTGAAAAAAAGGTTTAGATAAATATAGCTTTCTTGGACCACAGATGTCAGCACAAAGTACAATAGCAATATAATTTTGAGGGTTTCCCTCTGTATAATCAGTCCAATATTATAATTTTGGCATTCATATAAAATTTTTATACTTGTCCACCATGTAAAGACCTATAGCTGTCCAGCATAACTGTTACTATCCATGTGAAACAACTGATAAAGGGTAACAACCTTAAATGGTGCACAAACGTTCATACTCAACAATGTGCATTGACATCAGCTAAGTTTCTAACAGTGTGGATAATTGGAAAATTAAGAAATTATTATTTACGAAAGAAACTATAGATGACACAGACAAATGGAAAAACATCCCATGCCCATAGATAGAAAGAATCAATATGGTTAAAATGACCACACTGCCAAAGCAATCTACAGGTTCAATGCAATCACTATCAAAATACCAATGCCACTTTTCACATAAATAGAAAAAACAATCCTAAAATTTATATGGAGCCAAAATGATCCCAAATGGCCAAAGCAATACTAAGCAAAAAGAACAAAGTTGGAGGCATCACATTACCTGACAACAAATTATATTACAAGGCTATAGGAACCAAAAATCATGGTTCTGGTATAAAAATAAACACATAGATCAGTGGAACAGAATAGAGTACTGAGAAATAAAGTCACATACTTACAACCAACTGATCTTTGACAAAGCAGACAAAAACAGACAATGGGGAAAGCACACTCTATTCAATAAGTGGTGCTAGGAAAATTGGATAGTCATATGCAAAAGAATGAAACTGGACTCCTATCTCTCACCATTTCAAAAATTAACTCAAGATGTATTAAAGACTTAAATGTAAGACTGAAACTATAAAAATTCTAGAATAATAGCTAGGAAAAACTTTCAGATTGGCCTACTCAAAAAATTTATTTCTAAGACCCCAAAAGCAAATGGAATAAAAACAAAAATAAACAAATGGAACTTAATTAAACTACAAAGCTTCTGCACAGCAAAATAAATAATCAACAGAGTAAATAGACAACCTATGGATTGGGAGAAAATACTCACAAACTATGCATCTGATAAAGGACTAATATCCAGAATCTACAAGGAACTCAAACAACTCAACAAGAAAAAAAAAAAAAACATTAAAAAATAGGCAAACAACATCAACAAAAATTTTTCAAAAGAAGACATATAAATGTCCAAGAAACATGTGAAAAAAATGCTCAACATCACTAGTCATCAGAGAAATGTAAATTAAAACCACAATGAGATACCTTCTTATTTCAGTTGGAATGGCCATTATTCCGACTGGGATAAGATGGTATCTCATTGTAGTTTTAAGTCAAAAACAATAATGATGATGCAGATGCAGTGAGAAGAGAATGCTTATACACTGTTTGTGGGAATATAAATTAGTACAACCTCTGAGGAAAATATAATGGAGAACTAAAAATATATTTACCGTTTGACCCAGCAGTCCCACTACTGAGTACCTACCCACATGAAAAGAAATCATTATATCAAAAAGATACCTGCACTTGTATGTTTATTGCAGCACTATTCACAATAGCAAAGATATGGAATCATTCTTAAGTGTCCATCAACCAATGTTTGGATAAAGAAAATGTGATATAGATATATATATACATGTGCACTACACACACACACACACACACACACACACACCATGGAACACTACTTATTAAAAAAAATGAAATAATGTCTTTTGTAGCAAATTGGATGGAATGAGAGACCATTAACCTAAATGAAGCGACTTAGGAATAGGAAATCAAATACCACTTCTTTTCACTTACAAGTGGGAGCTAAACAATGGATACATATGACCATACAGTGGAAAAATAGACATTGGAGACTTCAAAAGGTGGGAGGGAGGGAGGACAGGGAGGGATGGTGAAGTTGTCTATTGGGTGCAATATACAATGTCTAGGTGATGGGTACACTAAAAGCCCAGACTTCACCACTACAAATATATACATGTAACAAAACTGTACTTTTATGCCCTAAATCTATAAAAATAAAATTAATAAAATCAAAATAACATATTCTCAAAAAAAAGAAGTTATTATTTTGATTATGTTCAATTTAAAAGCTTTTGATTACAGCTTGGGTGAGAATGACTGACAGAGCTTGGTTTCTTGCTAAAAAAACCCCGTGCATATTTTGAAATCCAATTTTCTTTGCTAATGCTTTCCATCATCTTTTTGCAAGGAAGGTCTTTCTAATTCCTATTATATTTTATAATTCTTTCTTCCAGGAATTACCCAATTTTTTTCAAAAGCAAAATACATAAAGATTTAACATGTGGCTCAACAAGACATATATCATATCATTTAATAAATATACACTAAATATATACATTAAATGTAACATATAAATTTAAAATATTTACAAGAACAATTAAAGTTTCTTATGTTTTTAAGAAAGATTACTATCTTTTTTCTACTTTTGGAAGATATTGACTTCCAGTGTCACCTAAGTCTTGAGTAATGCAAATGCTGACAGATCCACCTTTGTTTTTAGTCTTTGGGGAGTAAGTATCCTTAGATTTCTGAAGCCTGCATTCCAACCATGAAGAATTTCAGCAGGAGCAATTTTCCATGCTGCATTCACTCTCACTACTCACTAAATTACCACCCTAAAGCAGTGGTTCTTTGAAGATTTCAAAAAAACGGGACGGCAAATGCCAGTGACAGTATTTTTTTCTTCTCTAGCTCTTTCAGTGATTGCAGAGAATTATACCCTCAAGATCTCACTTTAGCAGAGTTGATGATGCCAGTGATCCAGTCTGGGGAGTTTACTCTTATAATTCAGCTGGACCCCAACTTTTCTCTGCTATAGGTTTATGGGTGCTAGGGATAATGGTGGGAACAGGGAAGGGAAAAATGGAACAGAAGGAAGAGGCTATGACAGGAAGTTACTTCTTGGATAATTAAAAGTTGACTGCCTGTAGTTTGTACTTGCTGTACAATTGTGTTAAAGCACTAGCAATTGCCTGGACTGATATAGTACTATCACATGTACCTAATTTTACGTGAAGGAGAACTCAACAAAGAAGAGGAAAGAAAGAAAAATCTACCCCTGCTGATGATGGAAAGAGAGATTTTTGAGGCAGCCAAATATTAGTTTTAAAATAGTATTTAAACTTGAGAACTTTTCCTGATTACTAATAGAGACAAAGTTCAGATAAAGTGAGAGTAGTAAAATAACAGAGAAAAATGTCAGTAAGAATAGGATTAACAAAACCAATGACAAAGTTACATTTGAAACCTTGACACTATTAAAATTGAGTGACAATATACCAAAACTTATATTTTAGAAAATAAAGACAGAAGGAGACAGGAAATAAACAATAAACATAATAAGTTTCTATGATGATAAGTTTTCTGGGAGGGGAAATTTCTTTGTGAAAAATCTTACAACTGAGCAAATATGAATCTAACGTAAAATGCCTTTGGCTAATTGATACATCCCTTTACATTGAAATTCCATGCAACTTTTCATGTGACTAAAATTTCTGCTAAAATTGATCTAAGAGCTAGCTATTTATATCAGTGTTTGCCTTTCTGGGGGAAGGTACTAGACCACCTTATTCAAAGGAAGTTCATTTAATGAGATATATCTTTTAATGGGGGTGATTTTCTATGAGTATTTCAACTAATATTTTATAAGAAGTAACAGTGAGAATAAGCTGTTTACTTTTACTCTTTAGTAAATTAAAATCCTACCCAGAAAAATCAGTCTGCTTACCTCAAATAAGCCATCTATTATTTAATAAACCAATCAATTAAATATATCGGTGAGCTAATAAACTTTAGTTCAAGAGCATAACTTCTATCTTTTTCTCCTTCACGAAAAGGCTACTCTATTAATAAATTACTATATGGTAATAAAATACCCTTGCATTTTACAAGTTGAAAGCTTATGCGAGTATGCTCCAAATTTTTTCTTTATATTTTGCACATACACAAATGACATAGAATATTAAAGATCAGATCAGCCCTCATAGAAGCGTTTTTATTGCTTTGAATGTGCACATGAATCACCTGGGGATCTTACCAGCAGGTTCTGAGCCAGTGGGTCTGGGGTGGGGCCTGAGACCCTGCTTTTATAATAAGCTTCCTGTGAATGCTGTTGTGGTTGGTCCAAAGGCCACATTTTGAGGGTCTAAAATATATTACAGTTTTATTTTCCTGTTACTCATAACTAAATATTTATCATACTTTCTCTATTACCTGACAGTAGGGAATTTACAAACAATGAAAGGCCTCTCAGATTGCAAGAAATATACACCCTTACATATACACACACACAAGCACACACACAGTCTTAACTTCTGCAGATGGGCTTACCTTCTCACAGTGGGTTCCTCATTTTACAACACTCCCCCCAAGTGGATTGTAATTTTGGAGATAAAGCTTTCAAGAAACTAATGGATTTCTTGTTGTCAGCACTAAGGCATCTCTGTTTTACAGTGAAATTTGAAAGTATATTGATGGCATTTGTCTTTGCATTTCATAGCAAATAATCACCCTAACACGACGATTTTTACTTCACTCTTGGGAGAACCAGTGTCTACCCATTAAAGAAAGCAATGTGAGAGTGTACTTTTCCACCCACCTTCTTTGGCTATTTCACAAGCTTTTATTAGAATTTTGATGGCCTGTTTGTAGTCTTTATTTTCCAGCATTTTGTCCGAGAGTAATCTGTAAGTCCTCAGGAGACACTCGCAGGCCAACAAGTTGAGAAAGCGGCCTGTCTCATCCTTCCATATCCGCCCTTGTGTCAATTGATGGAATGCTTCATAATGCTCGGCAGCTTCCAGAAGCTGACCTGGAGAATAAAAGCCATTCATAAATATAAACCAGAGGCCAGAACATATTTTCAAATTTTTTGCACACATCTTAGCTTTACTATTAAAGGGGAAAACGCCATGGAATATAGTGAAGGATTTCTAAGGTTGAAGAGGAATTAAACTAGGAAAGGAGCTATCTCTAATTGGACGTCGGCTTCGGCATTCATTTTGGATAGATACTTGCCAGAGGGATGTATTAATACTTCAGCTAGTAGAATTGACTGGGATTGTGTATGTTTAGAGAGAGTGGAAAAGTCCAGTAATTACTAATAGCTATCATATTGGTTAACACTTATGTAAGGCTCTGTAGGTGAGGCACTGTGCTGTGTGCTTTCTAGGCATTTCTCATTTAATCCTGAAAACAATCCTATGGAAGGGAACTATTAGGATTCCATCTCACAGAACAGAGAGCTGAAGCTCGGGGAGATTAAGAATTTTGCTCAAAACTGGTATTAACTGAGTAGCACCTAAGTGGACACATAGGTGCTACAGTAATAGGGTATTGGGCAGGTGGGAGGGGGAGGGGGCGGGTATATACATACATAATGAGTGAGATGTGCACCATCTGGGGAATGGTCAAGATGGAGACTCAGACTTTTGGGGGGAAGGGGGAAATGGGCATTCATTGAAACCTTAAAATCTGTACCCCCATAATATGCCGAAATTAAAAAAAAAAAAAAGAATTTTGCTCAAGATTGTGTGGCTAGTGGGTGGGAGATCCAGGAAATCTAACTCCAGAGCCGATGGTTTCAACCATCATCCTGCAATGCTTTCCCAACAGATGGGAATTTCTCCACTCTTAAGAGTTCAGATATCTTGAGAAAGGATGCATTTGCTAAAAATTTCAAATTCAAATATTATGCATCTTTAAACTGCTTCTCAATATTTGACTGAACTTTCTGAGGAGACATTTGCATGAACAGTGTAGTTTTGAATATTAGAATGTAACTGCCTTTCTGGATTTTATCCTATAGCAAAGTCCGAAATATAGCTTCTCAAAGCTAAAAAAAACTCTAAATTAGCCTTAAGTCATTTCATTCCTTAAAATATGAGGAAACATATTTCTGAAATAATGGTTTGCAGCTCCATAATGGGAAGAGTATTTTACTTATTCATTCCTTCATAGAAATGCTACCAATATCCTGTAGTGTAAATATTCTTTCATGGTATTGAACTTACGCAATTGGAATTAATGGGAAAAACACTTATATTCAGGCCATCCAACCATGCTGGTGAAGAGTCAGTGCAGACTCCAAGGAGATAGCCTGTTCCTATCCCTGCTTCCCTACTCTTTGTTTAGCCTCAGGCTAATTATCGCCCTCTCTGTGCCTTAGTTTATTCTTCTACAAAATAGGATTATGGTATAACTATTCAAGGTATTAATGTGCAAAATAAATTAATGCCATGTTGAATGTGTTACAGAGGAAGTGCTCAATAAACATAGTTACTGTTATCAGTTGGTATAATAATAATATCTTTAAAAATTCCAACATGAAATTCAAACATAACACTAATTTATTATAGACTTTAAGAATAACTTCCTCTTCCCACAACAAACAAGTATTAATTGCATCCTTATAACAATATGATCATGACAGATTAAATTAACCTATGCAAGTCATATTAGGCTCAATCTATTTCCTTCAATAGGTTTCATTGAATAGTGACAGTTGGAGCTCCTGCCATGACCATTGCATATAATTTCTTCCTATTTGTTATACAAAATTTGTTATCAAAATTAGTAGTGAAGGATTACTACCTAGGCACACACAAAGAATAGTATTCTCAAAGAAAGACAATCAACTGTGATGGATAATCAGAAAATGATCTGTAGAAAAATTATCAGTAAAGACATAGCCGGTCTAAGTCGTTGCCATACCACACTGGAGAACATGTTAGCAAAGATAGATACAGAGAGGGCAATGTGGACTACAGAGTTGCTTATAATCTTATATTATGAAAATTTCACATGATAGGACACTACAAATTACAGAAGAAGATTTCATTGCATGGAAAGGTGTTTATGATAAGTGAAAATACCGGAAAACCTCAGAAACCATTTAGAAAGTATTATCAGTGTTATCTCTGGGAGATAACAGGATTAAGGATGATAGATGGTTTCTTTTCCGATTCTCTTTTACTTTTCCTTGAATTTTTATCTTTTTGCTTATTGGCATTTTCTAAAGTTTCTGTCATCAAAATGTTTATTTTGTAATAAAAAATATACAAAAGAAATTATTTTAAAAATAATGTCCAATCCTTTTTTCACTTTGATATAAATACTCAAGGTTGAAGTTCACTGCTCTAATCTATCTTTACTTATAACTACAATTCTTTCTTACTTCCCACAAAAGAAGGCATAGTTTTTCATCTCTCCCCTGTAGCACCTATCACCAGAAACACCTTGCTCTAAATACCCATGACCCTCATTTTTTAAAACTAGAATGGAGCATTGACATATATGTGTGTTATGTTTCCTCTGTTAACTATATTTCTCTGCTTGCGAAATATAGCTCTGTATCCCTGGAAAGATGTATATAAGAGTTCTTTTTTTTCCCATGCAGTATCCATCTATTCATGAAGTATAGATAGATACTTCTTTTTGGCCATGTGAATAGGGAATGGTGGATATAGGAAACTGAATAAACCAAATGGTTCCAGAGAAGATAAGAACTATAAGGGAGATGAAGCTTTGGATAACTCAATAAATTAGAATTAGATGCAAATGAGGCATGATGATGTAAATCTGCAGTCCCCAAACCCCAGGCCGGGCCTGGTATTTGTCTTCAGCCTTTTAGGAACTGGCTGCACATCACCGCCTGAGCTCCCCTTCCCTGCGACCATGGAAAATTGTCTTCCATGAAACTTAGGAACTGGCCACACAGCAGGAGGTGAGCAGCAGGGGAGTGCGAAGCTTCATCTGTATTTACAGCCACTATAGCCGGCGCCTCTCACTAGCATCACCATCTGAGCTTCCCCTGACGCCTCCCACGTCCATGGAAAAATTATCTTCCATGAAACTGTTCCCTGGTGCCAAAAATCACTGCCCTAGAAGACAATTGTGTTGCTCAGAAAAGACACTTTTCTCATGGAGGGTCAACCTGGCATTTCTGAAGCAGCACCTTTTCATGCTGAAAAGAACAACAGGGACAATTCATAGGCACCATTAAGTTCACGGAATGCTGGGACCTTTCTGCTGGGGGGTACAAAAGCATCCTTGCATAGATCTGACAAGTCTCACAGACACGTGTTTTATAATTTGCGAAGAAGTTATTCAAGATTCAGTTACTTTCTATTCCTACTACTTCTTTTTTTAAAGACAGTCTTGCTCTGTCACCCTGGGTAGACTACAGGGTGGACATCATCTTAGCTCACAGCAATCTCAAACTCCTGGGCTCAACTGATCTTCCTGCCTCAGCCTCCTAAGTAGCTGGGACTACAGAGATGCCCCACCACGAACCAGCTAATATTTTCTATTTTTGGTAAAGATGGGGTGTTGCTCTTGCTCAGGCTGGTCTTGAACTCCCAACCTCAAGTGATCCCCCCGCCTCAGCATCCCAGAGTGCTAGGATTATAGGTGTGAGCCACCACACCTGACTTATTCCTGTTACTGCTTAGTTCTATTTATCTAGATAAGAATAGAAAATTTAGCCAAAAAATAAATTATTGATGATTAATTTATGACTATTTAGAAAACAGTAGCATTCATTTGGAGTCAACACTAGGAGCTACATTCACCAAGAACAAGTCATATTTGAATAATCTCATTTTCATCTATGTCTGTGCTATTCTGCTGAACCAGAAAATCAAGGGAACAACATAGAACTGCAGTCCCCAGCAGCGAGCAAAGCTTCACCTGTATTTACAGCTGCTCACCATTGCTTGCACCAGTGCCCGAGCTCTGCCTCCTGTCAGATCAGTGGTGGCATTAGATTCTGCATTTTGGCGAGTTGTATAATTATTTCATTATATGTTACAATGTAACAGTAATAGAAATAAAGTGCACAATAAATGTAATGCACTTGAGTCATCCAGAAACCATCCCTCCCACCTCGTCCCCCGAGTCCGTGGGAAAATTATCTTCCATGAAACCAGTCCCTGGTACCAAAAAGGTTGGGGACTGCTGATGTGAATCGTAAATGAGAAGTGATATCCATGTCCAACATTTGATCTTAAGGGAGCAGAAAGGGAGATAAAGGGAGGTGAGTGGATAGTTGAAGTAGGGGAAGGAGAGGAAATGGCGATGGAATTGAAGGTGGGGAGGAGTGGAGAAGACGTGGGGCTGTGCCCTTGTATCCCACAGAAGCCAGACTCCCTTCCCTCTGAGTTACTGAGTCCTGGGTTGCACTTAGGTATCCTAGACAGGCTAAGCAGGAATGAAGTCAGGCTGGTTCTTGGGACACTGGCTTCAGTTGGTTACTATGGAAGGCAACCTTGGGAAGATTAAAAATAAATAGTCTTTTCAGCTGAATTTGATTTTTCCTAGAGCTGTGGGGACTCGTATCTGTGTACTGCGTAGCTCATGATTAATGGCCAAGGCTCAGCTCTCAGAAGGGTCCACTTGAGGTCTCACATGAGGAAGGAGTCTAAGATACTTGAGTAAAAGAGAACAGGGAACCACCATTTCCTGAAAGCTGCTAGGTGGTAGTCAAAAGGTAAGATTTTTACCCCTTTTACATTATTTAACCTTCCAAGAACTGGTGAAGTAGATATGATTATTATTTTTCACTAAAGAGGAAACTGAGGCTGACAAAGATTAAATGATGCATATATTTAAGACATACTTTTGATAAGAGATGATTAGGATTTATACCCAAGATCACCAAAGGCCCTTACAACTGGTTCTACCACATCAGATACTAATCAACAAACCAAGAGTCAGAAAACTTAGTTCAGTTCTCTGGATATAAATCTCTTTTGTTAAAAACAATGCTTGGGTTACATTATTTCTAGTCTCTTCCAGTTCTATAATTCTGTG